CTAGAACCCTCAGTTTGTTTTTCAGAGTCCATCGTCTCTCATGGTTCGTCTACCCCTTCTATTTCCCCCGCTTCATTCTTCCCCTCCCGCTACCTTCTTATTCTTCTTTTTTTTTTTTCTTAACATATATTGCATTATTTGTTTTAGAGGTACAGATCTGAGATTCAACAGTCTTAGTAGTAACATTCTATACGCTTATCTGTTGTGGAAAAAAAGCCTCTGGTTATTTTTTGAAACTTCTGGTCCTATTGAGAGAAGATACCATGGGAGAGCCTGCAGAATTATAAAGCATGGTTGCTCTTCAATAAGAGATTGCTCTGGGAATTCATTGTTTATAGTTTGTTGCTTTTCAGAGATCTAGGAGGGATTTGTTGTTTTGTTCCATATAGCATTTCCTTTTAACCAGTGGCCATCTGTCTTGCCCTGAATTAGGCCATTCTTGCTTTAGTTTCTCCTTACTAGACTTCCAAGGTTATTTAAGAAAGAAATCTTTGTGGCTTTTTCAAAGGATTCTTGCCATTGGGACTTTGTCACTGAGGGAGAATTTTGTACTTCACATCAGTGCTGAGGCTGGAATGGTTAACAAGAGTCAAGGATTCTAAATTTTCTTAAATGAGGCCCTTTTTTGCTAAAGTCAGAATTCCTGTCTATTTGATGACAGATAGCTCTTTCCTTGATTCCTCAGAACTGTAACTACTTGGTAATTTTATTCCTTTTGTATTACATAAGCCTCTCCTACTTGCACCCCACTGAAGCCAAGAAATTACCAACTAGAGCTCGCTTTGCCTGCTAAGGAAGGAAAAAACACAATAATATGTGCTCCTACTGGTAAGTTGATTGCCACTACTTACATGGTTTGTTTCTGTGTTTGCTTCCTTTTTTTTCTTGTATTGAATACTGGGACAAAATGGACAAGTTTCCATTTTTTCCTTGTTCCATATATCTTTTGAGAAAACTTTCCCATTAATATAGTCTCCAGGTATTTTAAGGAACCTGAGGAAGGAAAGAAAAATGCCCTGTTTTAGCTTGCTTTATGCCTTGACTATTTTATTTGCATGTTACCTAGGAAGTAACTTGATATTTTTCTGTCCTGGTATAAATTCTGTCGACATTCCTAGTTTATTAGTTGGTGCAGTGGTTTTAGGGGAGCCAAAAATAATTACCTTTCTATAGAAATATTTTAGTATAATATCAATTACATGTTTTCTTTTTCTTTGTATGTTAAAAGGTTGTGGAAAAACGTTTATTTCCCTTCTTATATGTGAACATCATCTTAAAAAATTTCCACAAGGACAAAAGGGGAAGGTTGTCTTTTTTGCTATTCAACTCCCAGTGTATGAACAGCAGAAATCCGTGTTCTCCAAATATTTTGAAAAACTTGGGTAGGTATAACAGTTGGTCCCATTTCTTTTTCTCTAGCTTCATTTAACTGGTGTGTATTCAGCTTAGTTTAATTTTGGAAAGCTAGGATTCAAAAATTTATAATAGATTTAGCTTTTATATAATCTAGATGTAATTAATTTTTCATGGATGCAAGTCTCTTTTGTTAGGTATGCTTGAAATCCTAAACTCCTTTGGTTAGCTCTTGCAGAGTAAGTAAATGACTTGAGATCAGTTTTACATTTAAATGACACATTTAACTTTTTAATGATTTTATAACTTCTTTAATATTACTCTTTCCTTTAAGTACTATTTTCTTTCTTAAGACTTGAAGGAATTAACATACTCTACTAGCAGTTTTAGCTGGCTTGCAGCTGTTGACCATTTACTATGTGTATGGCTCTGTGCTAAGCACTTGTCTCCCATATATTCCTTTTGGAGTTAGGGAGAACTTAATCAGTTAATGCTCTGACCTAGTGTTTCATGTCTTTATGGTTCCTCATTCACATCATGGTTGGTAATAGGGAATTTCTGTCATTTCCCAGGTACAAAGTTGCAGGTGTTTCTGGAGCAACATCTGAGAATATCTTAATGGAACAGATTGTTGAGAACAATGACATCATCATTTTAACTCCACAGATTCTTGTGAATAACCTTAGAAATGGGACTATTCCATCACTCTCTGTCTTTACTTTGATGATATTTGATGAATGTCACAACACTGGTAAACACCATCCTTACAATATGATCATGTTTAATTATCTAGATCAGAAACTTGGAGATTCTTCAGACCCACTGCCTCAGGTATTTCCAGAGTCGGGTGGATTCCTCAGAAGAGCTATAACCATCTTAAATCCTATTTACTTACTCTACTGACCACATTGAGGATGGTCTTCTCAGGTCCTAAGTCCATATTGTATAGTTCATTAATTTTTATTTGTTCATTCACTTATTCACTTAACAAATATGCATTAGGTGCCCCCCTGTGTTATCCACTGTGCTAGGCACTGGGGATACAAATATAGAAAGACATAAATCTCAAACAGGTGAAGGTTCATGGGGAGCCAGACATGTAAGAATTGTGTCATAATATATGGTGATGGCACACTATGGAGATGGGTACGGTGTAGTCAGAACAGAAGTGAAAACTCGTAAGTGTGCTGTGAAAGTAAGACAAAACCCAACAGAAGTTAGGTAAAAACTAACAAGAATGTACAAGGTAGATAACTGGATGGTTTTCAGGAAGCGCTACTGTGTGTCCAGAGGCACAGAGGTATGAGAGAACATGGTGTGCCCAAGAGTCCTGAAGGTCTTCCATATCATTTGAGTGTAAAATGTGAAGTGGTAAATAGCAATAGGTGAGGCAGAGTGGGATAGAGGGAATGATCGATAGAACAAGATGCTAGGAGAGACCAGAGGGTATGGGATAAGTAGGCAGGAATGTGCATTAGTAGAGAAGAGCAGATGGGACACCATTTTTGGTGTCATCAGAGGTGAGGGTGTGAGAAGAGTCAAGAGAGAGAGTAGTTCTTAGATGGGGACAGGAAAGGTAGGGAATCCCTGGCATTTAATCTCTCTTTTCTCTTATGTGTAGAAGAGGTAGACAAATTATTTGCTGAGAATAATCAAGATAGGAATGGGGGACAGAGCTCAAGATACATGGAGAGAATTTGAAATGAAAGAGAGAACTAAGAGGAATATATAGAAGAATTTCTTGGTTACATTAAGGATCCAGATGAGGTTGGAAACCCTGAATTTATAGTATACCAATATCACAGTACCTAAAGTTCTCTAGCCCTAATAACTACCTGTTTAGGAAGCATAGGTTAGAAGAAATTCAGTATGGTACCCACAGACAAAATTCAGTAGCAATCACATTTCTTACAGCTTTTTGTTCTAGAAAAAAAATTGGTGGTTGATTAGATTCCTTGCTAATGAGTCAATTATTCAGTATTTACTGAGTGGCTATTCAAGGAAGACATAAATTATTAGGTGACCATTAAGCTAATTTTTTTTTTTTTTACAAATGTTATCTTACTGAATTCACACACCTACCATTTTAAATAGCTATTGTTTCCCAACTTTAAAGAGAGCTGAAGATACTTGTCCAAGAATCCACAGCCAGTGTGACATGGTTGCGTTTAGAATGGAGTTGTGTCTGATTTGGTCCCTTTCCTTTTAGTATGTTGTTCTGCATATCATGTAGGACACAAGGGTAGAGAAGAAAGAAGTCCTACCTTGAAATGGTTTTTGCTCTTGGTTTCTTTGCTAATTCGTGTTCATTTGATAAGTTGTGACTCCTGCTTTGCCTAATGGGGACCTTTCCATTTGCAGTGTCATAGAGAATATCAGGGAAAAAATTAGTTTTCTTACTCTTTAATTAGTAAAACAAACAAACAAACAAACACCCCTACTTTAGCAGGAAAGGGTTGCATGAGGGAGTGTGGAAATGGCATGCTGTTTTCCAGATGTCTGACAATTTGGAATGATCCTCACAGGTCATTGGGCTGACTGCCTCGGTTGGCATTGGGGATGCCAAAAACACAATGGAAGCCATGGAATATATCTGCAAACTGTGTGCTTCTCTTGACACATCAGTGATAGCAACAGTCAAAGACAACTTGGAGGAATTGGAAGAAATTGTCTATAAGCCCCAGAAGTGTAAGTGGAATCCAGTAACAAGCCCTTTAGAACTTCGTTACCCTCTGCTTTTCCTAGTTCAGAGACATTTGGATGAATACTGAATTTTTACCTTTTCTGTTTGGTAGAAAATATTTAACCCCAAACTTGGGAAATAATTACATTTCATGCCTCTTTCCTCAATCAAACTCTGTCCTCAAGCAATGGATGAACCTCAAGAGTGTGGACTGTTGAAAGCAAACATTCTTACTCTTCAGTTTGATAAAGTTCTTTTTTTGTTTTTGTTTTGTTTTTGATAAAGTTCTTATAAGGATACTAACAATGAGAGAGACAAGATGAGAAAATCAAAGCATGTAAATGGCCAAGACCTGGACTCAGTCCTTCCTTGAGTTGCACGCCTGAGGAGGATACTGTGTGATCATTCATTATTTGAATAATGTATCTGATGATATGGGTTGAAATGAAATTAATCTGAGTTCATATTTTTCCTCAGCAGATCAATATGATTTTTTAAAAAGATTGACCAGCAAATGTTTACTAAATTCCAATGCTATACTAACCCAGCAAGAGACAGCAGAAGAGGAGACATATATGCCTTCATCCTTGCTCTGGGGATAGTGTATGACTGAATAAGGCATCGCAAACACACATCAAATAGCCAGGGAGGGGCAATTCAGTTCCTTCCTGGGAGTTGCCTGTAAGGAGTTTAGGGAAGGTACCCAATCTAAACTTTTTAGTACCAAGTACAAACTTCTTTGGAATCCAGTCCCCTCTGCCCTCTGTACTTCATTGCCCCCTCCTATAAGTCTAACCATGCTGCATTCCTCTGGGCTCCTCAAGTGCATTTCCTTCATTCCTCTTTCCCTAGTTATCCCCCAGCATTTCCTCCTTTGGAAGAATTAGAGATTTCCTTCCTTGTGCCCCTTGACACCTGGCACATACTTACATTATGGCAGTTTACTGTGATTATTTGGTTAATGTACCTTTCTCTCCCCTGAGAACACAGACCTCTCTGGAGCACAGACTGTGTTCTTTTCAACTGTTTATCACCAGAACGTGCCACGTGGTAGGCAGTTATTAAGTTTCTGCAGAAACAATGCAATAATGAATTTTAGGAACAGTGTGAGCGCTTCTGGGGGTTGGGTGGGAAAGGAGAAAATCAAAGAAGAGAGGGTTAAAAAGTGTTGTACTTGCAGAGATAAGATGGATACCACCCTTGTCAGAGTAGAGGCTCCATGTTGAATAACAGGAAAACCAGAATGAGAAGTTGGATTAGACCCAGACCATGAAAGACAGAGATGTTAGAATCTGTGCATTAAGCACTCGGGAGCTCTTGCAAGGTTTTTGAGCATTTGATACATCATTTAGACTACCACCCTGTGAGCTTGGGGCCTCAGGTCTTGCAGAAGAAGTAGCAGAGGCAGACAAAGGTGTGCAGATGCCTGCTTCGAACTATGATGTGTTCTTCCTGAAAAATACTCACTTTGTTTTAATGGCTTTAGTTTTCAGGAAAGTGGAATCACGGACTACTGACAGATTTAAATGCATCATATCACAGCTGATGAGGGAGACAGAGAGTCTGGCAAAGAATATCTTTGACGAACTCGGTACCGTAACTCTCGGTGAGATAAATCTCATTTTGTATTCTCTCCATTTAGGAATAACCATATATTGTTCACTAGTGTCTTTTTGCATTCTCTTCAGTTCAGACAGGGTCAAGACCGTAATCAAGAGGTTAACCTTCCTGATTATAGGTTATTCAGGAAACCTGTAAGTCCTCCTTTAGTCTCTCCTCCTTTTTTTTTTCTTTTTAAATTCAAAGTAAATCTCTGGACATACATACCTGAACAATACCATATTTAAATCAGTTCATGGCTTTCAAATTAGCTAATTTGAAAAGTTCTAAGTTCTGACTTCCCCATTTATATGAATGAAGCCACCATTTCCCTGATGGCTCAGATTGCAACAGGCAGTGATCTTCGGTTCTTCCTCTTTTGAGACTCTCTCATGAAGTTACCAAGTTCTCTTCTCTCTTTTGTTCTTTCATTCATTCACCAGATACTCATTGTGCCAGCTAATGGAAAGGACAAGGTTAAAGACATAGTCCCAACCTCAGGGAACTCACAGTCAATAATGAGAATCAGATGTGAGTAGCTCCCACACAGCAGGGCAGAGGTACAACCTCGGTGCCTTGAGAGCACGTAGGAACTTTGGCCTGGAATGAGCTGCAGGGAAGCTTCCTGGGATGGGGTGGTGCCTGAGGCAGTCTTGAAGTCAGCCAAGCTAAGAAGGAGAGACAACCACGTGAGGTTGAAAAGGCATTGATGGAAGAAAAAGTTTTAGGAACGGCAAGCATTTCGTAGTATTCCCAGTGCATGAGTAGTAGAAAGGAGTGACGCTAGAGAGGCAGGGGCCAGACCAGGAAAGGCTTTGTCCTAAAAGCAGGGGGAAGCATCTGAAGATTTTAAACTGATTCGCGATGTGATAAGAATACCAGTGAACAAAGAGGGCCAGAGGCAGTCAAGACAGGCTGGTGGAAGGAGGAGGCTCGCGCTGAGCACTGCAAACAGGAAGTGTTCCGATTTCATGGCCAGCCGGCTTTGGGTGGGAGTGGGAGTGATTTGCACCAGGCTTCTGGCTTGCACACTTGTTGATATACCAGTAGGGAGTGCTGGTTCCAGAACTAGGAGCAGCTTTGGAGATGTTGAATTTGTGAATTCACCTTTCTTCACACTTATTTTGCTTTTTCTCTTCTCTTCTTTCACAGCTTGATTTAGGACTTAGGCTGACTGCTGTCTGGCTGGTTTGCCCACCCACACTCACTTTTCCATTCAGCCCCCTGTTACCTGGTTGATCTTTCTGAAATACCAGTTTTATCATGTTAGTATCCTGCTTGAATCTGCCTTACAAGCAAAGCTCTCTAAGCCTCTAACCTGCCAGTCTGGGCCCTACCTGCACAATCTGGTTCTACTTTTCTTTCCAGTTTTACCTTCCTCTCCTTCCCTACTCGGATCCTTTGATTTAGCGGTTCCTTGAACATGTTCATTTACTTGTCATCTACTTGGTGCTTGGCAGTGTGCTAGCTGATGGGGCGATAGCATGGACCCTGAGATACAGCTCCTGCCCTTGTGGCATTTCCAGAACAATGGTAAAGCCAAAGTTAGATAAGGAATAATAAAACAACGGGATAGGGTAGGTGGATGGTGGTGATCAGGTGTGTTTCAGGCAGAGGGAACAGCATGTGCAAAGGCCAGGAAAGCAGAGATGGTATGAGGACTTCCATCAGTCCTGTCAAATGCAGGAAGCAGAGCAGCTGGAGATGAGAATCAGAAGCTAGATCACAGAGGATCCTGAGAACTGGGTAGGATTTTGGCTAGAGGAATCCACTACAGGCGTTTAAGTGGTGGGGTAGCAAAATGTTTCATCTGCAATTTTGGAAACTCTCTCTTTAGCTGCTGAGTGGGCAGTGGATTGGAGGGACCAAGGCAAGAAGTTAGGAGGCCGTCATATTTTCCAGGAACATTATGATGTAGTCTGAACTAGGGAGGTAGCAGAAGGGTGGAGAGACATGAATTTCTATCTTCTTATTCCCCCCACTTCTAATTCCCTACCTGTACCTTTTCCCCAGTCTACATCCTGTCAGCTGTTCACTTCCAGATTGCTTAGCTCATTTTCACACCTACTCACATTCAAGAAATACTTGTTAATTCATCTGGTTTACTGCTGACCATCTTGTTTGTAGTTGGAGCTGGGAAAGAAGCATGTCAATGCTACTTGTCTGAATAGCCTCCTTTGTTCCTCTTGCTAAACATGAATGGGTGAGAGGAGCAGTTTAACCCAGAATTATAGCTCTTGCCTGTGAGTTTTACTAAACTGTGCTCTTCCCAGGGAGCCCTGGAGATCTGAGCTACTTGAGAATAGGCTTCTTCTGTTTTCTGCATCCTTTTACCACCCTGCACACAGCCTGGACCACAGCTGATGCTCAATTTTTGGACCGAGCAACTGAGGCGTAGCTTAGGAGATGCACACATACAGAAGCATCCACGACGAGCATCTTTTGAGTGCCTGTTTTTTGCTCGGCCCTGTGAATGGTGCTGTGGAGATCAGACAGCTTAAGTTCGTAGCAAGGTAGAAGAGAGTGTGTTGAGTTCTCTCTCACTTGCTTTTAAATATCTCCCTGATGAAGCTCATGAGACCTATTGTTTTTATTCACTGCTTTATTGTTAGAGGCAAAGTTAGATATTTTCCTGTCCATCGTTTTACCTCTGGGCTGCTTTGGTCGTCAGCTCATAGAGCTGGCAAGCCTTCAGTATTAGACACACCTGGATCTGCATTCCTGCACTCACCCCACATGCTAGCTCTGTCACTTTGGGTAAATTACTTTGCTTTTCTGAGCTTTGGTTTCCTCACCTGTAAAATATAACATCCACCTCAGAGGTTTGTGAAAATGAAATGGATTTGAGTGTAAGACACTTTGATTCTTGGTGCAAAGTATTCAGTAAGAAATCACGTGCCAACATAGATTCACTACTGCTGCAAACTGACTGTTTCAGGAGGAATACTCTGCTTACAGAGAGCAAGAAAGAAAATTTGAGGGTGAGGCATGCTTAGAACTTTAAATGACTGACCATATGGCACAATGAAAAACTTTTTTTTTTTCCTCAGAAAGTGTATCTCAAATTCAAAATAGGAATTTTGGAACACAGAAATATGAACAATGGATCGTTTCTGTTCAGAAGGCATGCATGGTGTTTCAGTTGCCCGACAAAGATGAAGAGAGCAGGATTTGTAAAGCCCTGTACTTGTACACTTCCCACTTGCGGGTATGTGGCTTCTTTGCAGCGACATATTTTAGTTGTAGTACCTACTGGGAGCTTTGCTCTGGGAGCCAAGAGAACATCAACTTTTCACCCTTTTCCAAGAGCTCACTTAGGAACTTTCCGAGGGGTTCCTATGAGGCAAACTTTAAAGTTATCCCATTCAGCATCTTCTCTGTCAGCTTACTGAAACATAATACAAGCAGCCACAGGATAGAAACAAATGCTGGGGTTCTATACCATGTGCCTCTAGTATTCCCATGATTGACACGATTGGAAAAATTTGGGGGATGATGAACATGATTGTAGATATGTGATTGGTGACAGCCATCTTGAAAATTCAGTAAGTGACTTCTGTTGCCTTATCTTGAAGCAGGTGTTTTCTTAACTTTGGCAAAGCCACACGCTCAGAAACCCAGGGTCTTTGGTTGTTTTCTGGTTAACCAAGAAGTTAAGAAACAACAACCATCACCTCTGCTTATCATGCTGTTGAAAGTATTTAAAAATGCACTCAGTCAGCATGCATTTATAGAATTTTAATGAACTTAGCTGCCTATTTGGGGTAGGTGGTCAGTGCCATCATTCTGAACAGGTGCTGTTGCAATTCCCTGATGGCTCTGGATGTATGAGGAGATTAAGTTGAATGTCTGAATCACGAGGCAAGTTGATGCGGAAGTTGATTTGCTTTTGTTTTTTGCTTTTTAATCTTTGACATGCATTTTTCTTGTAATTTTCTCTTTCTCTTCCAAGGTGTAATTCTAGACTCCAAAATGATCCTAATTAATTAATGATTCTAGCTGATTAAGATTTTTTAAATAGTATTTGGTTCAAAGGTTTTATTGCAGTACCATTAGAAACCACTCATCTTAAAAAACTAAGTTTGGATAGATTTAAGAAGAGCTTATTTTAAAAATTAGTTCCATGCTAAGTACAGCTAATTGAATTTCAGTACAGCAAATGCATTAGACCTTGGAAACACTGAAACTCAGTTTTCATTTTAAACAGAAATATAATGATGCCCTCATTATCAATGAGCATGCACGGATGAAAGATGCTCTGGATTACTTGAAAGACTTCTTCACTGATGTCCGAGCTGCAGGATTTGATGAGATTGAGCAGCATCTCACTCAGAGATTCGAAGGTGGGTAGTGTTTCCAGAGGAAGAAGCCACTGGAGCCTGGTGACTCCAGTGGCAGGATACTTGTATTATATTTAGTGTACGGTGATGCTCAGGAGTTGTCCTGGGCTTAAGAAGATAATTATAGACAGCAGGACTATTAAGCTTCAGTGAAATCTGGTACTTATGGAAAAAATATGTTGCTTACACTATTTCTTATTTTGAAAAAGGAAAAATAGGATTTGCAAAGGATACATCCCATAAAAATTATAATAGGTAGTGGCTTTTTTTTTTTTTAATCTATAAGAGACTTTTTTAAGTTCAGTTAGCCAACATATAGTACATCATTAGTTTTTGAGGTAGTGGTCAATGATTCATTAGTTGCATATAACACCCAGTGCTCATCAGATCATGCACCCTCCTTAATGCCCATCACTCAGTTACCCTGCCCCCCTCCTCGCCCCTCTGTCCCTTCTGCAACCTTCAGTTTGTTTCCCGGAGTCCAAAATCTCTCATGGTTGAGAGGTAGTGGCATTTTTTTGTTCAACTTTTAGTAATTTTACTATGCTTTAAAAATATAAAAAAAGTGTTTGGGGCGCCTGGGTGGCTCAGTCATTAAGCGTCTGCCTTCGGCTCAGGTCATGGTCCCAGGGTCCTGGGATCGAGCCCCGCATCAGGCTCTCTGCTCAGCGGGAAGCCCTCTCCCACTCCCCCTACTTGTGTTGCGTCTCTCGCTGTGTCTCTCTCGGTCAAATAAATAAAATCTGTAAAAATAAATAAATAAATAAAAATATTAAAAAAGTGTTTTAGTGATTTAGAGAGATTATAATTTATATATGCTATATATAAATTTATATATAGAAGAAAACCAAGATGGCCCATAATCCTACTGCTCATGTATCAAGAAGTTTATAGGAAGATTTAAAATAAAAAGTAAGGCCTTCTCCCTCTCTCAAAATTCTTTTCCCAAAGGTAATTACTGCTAATAAATTAGTTTGGCCTATATCAAAGTATTTAGTATACATAAATGTAGCCCAGTGGTGTGCTGCTATGCACTGAGCACCCAGCTGTCTGGGGAAAAATAAGTATGCATTTATTGCTGCATTTAATGTATGCATTAAAGCAGTGGTTATTACTCTTGGAATTCTGGTCAAAGATTGAGAGATCAACTGAACTATAGCTAAAGGTCACAGTGTGTTCTAAATTTGTAGAATTTATAAGCCATTTATAGAATGTTCCCCTTTTGCAGAAAAGCTGAAGGAACTGGAAAGTGTTTCCATGGATCCCAGCAATGAGAACCCTAAACTCCAAGATCTCTCCTTCATCTTGCAAGAGGAGTATCACTTAAATCCAGAGAGTAGAACCATCCTCTTTGTGAAAACCAGAGCACTTGTGGATGTAAGCTTCTTTCTTCTTGTGGATACCAAATCGACCCAGTACCATTTTATTGAAAAGAGTGTCCTTTCCTCACTGCTCTGCAGTCAGGCACCCACCCAAATATGTGTGGGTTTGTTTCTAGGCTGTCTATTCTGTTCTGATTCTCTCTTTGTTTATCTTTATACAAACACTTCACTATCTTCATCACTCTGGTTTATAGTAAGTCTTTGTACCTGTAGAACAAGGACTTCATACTTTTAAAATTTTTTTGTCAGTTGAAAAAAATTTTAGCCATTCTCTGAGCATGTAATGGTATCTCCCTAGGGTTTGAAAATTCATTTTACTATATTTGCATTTCAGCTAATGCAGTTGAGCATTTTTCATAAACTTAGTAGCCATCCATATATCTTCTTTGGTGAAGTGTCCGTTTACATCTTTTGCCCATTTAAAAATAGGATTTGATTGAGTTGTATACCATGTTATTGTTGAGTGTTTAAAAAGTTTTTTATATAGTCTGACAGAAGTCCTCTGTCTGAAATGTGATTTGTAAATATTTTCTTCTGGTTTTTTAATTCTCTGAATAGTATCTTTTACTGATTGAAAATTTTAACTTTTCATAAAGTCTATTTTAACAGTTTTTTCTTTTGGGGGATTGTGCTTTTGGTATTGTATATAAGAACCCTTTGCTTATCCAAGATCACAAAGATTTTCTTTGTTATCTTGTCAAAGTTTTATAGTTCTGCAATTTATAATTAGGTCTACAATCCCTTTTGAGTTACGGATTAAGATGCTTTTTTTTCTTTTTGTATGTGGATATCCAATTGCTGCAGGACTGTATGTTGAAAAGAATGTCCTTTCTCCACTGAATTGCGTTTGTTACTTTTTGAAAAATCAGTTGGCTCTATTTATGTAGGTCTATTTCTGGATTCTCTCTTCTGTTCCATTCATCTATATCCATCTATCTTTTCACCCTTCCCATACTGTCTTGATTAGCTTTATGGTGTGAGTCCTCTAACTTTTTTCCTTTTTTCAAAATTGTTTTAGCTATCCTCCTTTGCTTTTCCATTTATATTTTAGAATCAGCTCACTCACATATATGAAAAAGTCTGCTGGGATTTTGTTTGGGATTGCATTGAATCAATAGATAAAACTGGGGAAAAGTGACATCTTAACAATATGGAGTCTTCCAATCCATGACCATAGTATATCTCTCTCTTTTCATTTATATAGTTTCTGTATAAGTTACCTATTGCTGATAACAAATTACCTCAAAACTTAGTGGCTGGAAACAACAAACTCTTCTCTTAAAATATCTATGGATCAGGAATCTGGAAACAACTTAACTGGATGTTTCTGACTCAGGATCTCTCCCCAGGCTGTAGTCATCTCAAGACTCTACTTGAAAGGCTTAACTTCCAACCATACCTCCCTGGCTATTGGCGGGCCTCAGAAGATGTGCTTCTGAGCTCACTCATGTGGGCCTCTCCATAGGGCTGCCTCAGAGCATGCCGGCCTCCTCTAGAGTGAGTGATCCAAGAGGGATTGAGAGAGTATGCCTAATATAGAGGTCATAGTCATTTTGTAACTTCGACTTGGAAGTGAGCATTTCTTCCATTTTTTATTCATTAGAAGCAGGTCACACTTGAAGGGAGGGGATTACAAGGATCTGAAGACCAGCAGGTGGAGATCACTGGGAGCCAACCGAGAGGCCACCTACTACATCTTTGGTTTCTTTTATCACTGTTTTGTCGTTTTTGGCATACAGATTCTGCACATATTTTATTACACGTATACCTAAGTGTCAATTTTTTAATGCTATTATAAATTGTACCTGTAGTTGCTTGTTTGCTGGTGAATAGAAATACAACTGATTTCTGTATATTGATCTTATGTCCTGAGATCTTGCTAAAACTCACTTATTAGTTTTACACACTCACTATTCCAAACATTGCTTTTTTCATTTAAATAAGGGATGTCGTAGAGATTAAATTGTATCAGATCACAAAGGTCTTAACCATTATAGTTAATTATTGCATAGAATTCAATTCCAAAAAGCTTTTATTCTCAGGTTTGTCAGTCAGACAACTGACTGAACTGTTTACTAAAAGTTTTTTTTTCTTCTGGCAGTATATCAGCATTGAATTAATAGTTACACAGATGTGTTCTACAGATAGTGTCCAACTGATAATTGCTTTTGACTTTCAGGCTTTGAAGAAATGGATTGAAGAAAATTCTGAACTCAGCTTTCTAAAACCTGGCATATTGACTGGACGTGGCAAAACAAATCACAACACAGGTACTATATATATGAATTAGAGTTAGGATACTGTATCTATAAGAATATTTATAATATATTCAAATTCTTTTTTAATGCTTGTATCAGTCAGGGTTCAACTAGAGAAGCAAAACCAGTAAGAGATTATGCACACATACATATATACCTATATGTTGTTTATGTGTGTGTGTACACAAACACACACAAACTCATAGGGATTTGGGAATTAGCATGCACAACTGGACTGGCAAAGTGAATTTGAAATCCATAGCGCAGGTGGTCCAGAGCAGGCCTGAACCTCACAGGCATGAGCTGTTTGGAGTCTCTGAGCTCAGGGACTAATGCCTAAGCCTTCTTACAAAGGGTCGATTGATTATGTCAGGTCAACTGAGGATGAAATCCCTTTTGTAACTTAAATGTTAAGTGATTAGGAACTTCAATTACATCTGCGAATTCCCTTCACAGAAGCACCTAGATCAATAACTGGGTACTGTAGTTCAGCCTAGCCACATTGACACATCAGAAAGCCATCACAGTGTTCGAATACAAAAACTTGTAGACATCTCCTCTTCCCATAGGTCCTGCAGACAAAACCAAAGTTATTTTGTTTGAGCACGTCACTCTTTTTCTCCAATTCTCAATCAGTAGATTAAGATTAGCTGGAAATAAAAATGTTCTGTTTCCATTTTATTGTTTTTTAAGCTATAGATGCTTTTATGTGTAATATATATATTTTTAATTAAAAAAAAAAGTTCAAGCACACAATCCTGAAATCCAGCTACGGTGGCTGAAGGATGAAGGGCTGCCTCTGTAATCCTCCAGCAGGATCCCTGGGTGGCCAGCCCTCAGCTGACATTCTCATAGCTGTGCTCCCCACCCCTCAGTGACCAGCTGGGACAGATCCTCACTCTGTTCCTCCTGTTTAGTTTTGTGTATAATAAGCAGTCCCTATCCTGTCAGTCCTCAGTCATTACTCTTGCACTTTCCCCTTATGCAAATTTTAAACTTCATGAATCGAAAAAAGTATATTCAGATTTTGAAAATTTAACTTACCAAATGAAGTCCAACACCACATTATTGCAGTTGGAATTCAAAGTTCTCTGCAGTCTGACTCTAACATGAGTTGATTTTCAAACTTTGTTATTTCTTTACAAATAAGCACTCAAGACATTTTCTTGTTTGTTCATTTATCCATCCATCCATCCATCCATCACCTATCCATCCATCATCCATCCATCCATCCACATTTATTTAGAAACTTACCAGTTATTGAGCTTCTGCAGAAGAGCCTTCCCCAACCACCCAAGACTGGTAGAGGTGTCTCTCCTCCCTGTTCCATAGATGCAATTCTGCCTCCATCTCATTGCTCATCACCTTGAATTATAGCTTCCTATTGATATCCTTCTTCCATGAGATCCTTGTAGATAAAAATGGACCTTTTAACCATGTATTTTTACCTGACAAACTATAATTGCTGAATAAATGTTTGATGAACAAGTGGACGAGTAAGTTTAGAAATTCATGAAGTATGGTGTCTGTCTTGGGCATGCTCATCGTTCAGTAGAAGAGGATGGTAAAAAGAAATTGTTTTGGCCTTAAAATACATCTGAAGATTTTGGCTGCCAGTGTACTGGAAAAAATTAGAACTTATATAAATTCTATTAACTTGGAGGTGGAGCCCACTGAAATTCTTTTTTCTTCTCAGTATATCACTGGCTGAGAACTGCACACTGTTAGGGTCTCAGACTTAGGTTCTGCCACTAACTAGCCTGTCAGTTTATCATACTTCCAAAACCTCAAAGTCTTCATCTGTAAAGGAGAACTATAACACTTGCCACATCAGCCTAAAAGGGCTTTGTGAAGTTCCAGTAAGTACTTAGTTGTGAAACTGTTTTGCCAGCTATAAAGTCCTATACATATGCAAAGTCATTATGATGAATAGTTTTGCAAAAAAACTATTAATTGTTGATAGTTGTTGATAGTTTTTTTTAAAAAAATCAGTATTTGTTTTGAGATAACATGACTGAAGTCACACAGCTGGTTAGTGCCACAGCTGGGATTTGAACTCACGTAGTCTTGGGGCAGAGTCCAAATTGTTAAACACCATCATAATGTCCTCTCTAAAACAAGGCTAGGAATAGGCCCTACTGTCTAGCGTTGTTTTGACATCATGAATATAAAGCACTTTTCACAGTATTTGGCACATAATAAGCATTCCATAATTAATGGCTATTTTTCGAGGGTAAAGTTCCCTCTTTGGTGAGTTGTATAATGAATGCCCTCTGACTCTGACACAGGAATGACGCTCCCAGCACAGAAGTGTGCATTGGATGCATTCAGAACCGATGGAGATAAAAAGATTCTGATTGCTACCTCAGTTGCTGATGAAGGCATTGACATTGCTCAGTGTAATTTGGTCATCCTGTATGAGTATGTGGGCAATGTCATCAGAATGATCCAAACCAGAGGTGAGAAAAGCTTTGATGCCATGACTAAATGGCTGCCAATTTGTCTGATTTGTGAGCGTGTCTGTCATTTAGAAACGTACTCTGTCCCAGTCATTGTGCTTCTGGCCTTTTCTCCTTTACCGAGCCATAGTGGCTGTATGACCATTGGCACAGTGGACTCTGGCGTCTTTGGCCCTGATGGTGGCTTACTTGATCAGGATTGTGTGGGTACAGTTTTGCCCACTAATATATACCCTATTTTGATTCTTGTTTATGATGAATACTGTTTACTTGACCAACATTGACGGACATATTTATGGTAAGATAATTCCCACTTGGATTGAGACTCTGGCAGCCAATGTGTGGAACTTTCATGGTTGTGCTTGTGGTAATGATGGGCCCCCTGTATTCTAGAAGAGATACTCCATAGAATTCTCCTGTCTCACTTGAACTAGGTGATCTTCTAACTAGCCTCTCTTACTTTTTCCAATTTCCCTAACGACAGCCGCCATTTTACTTCCTGAAAAACAGCTCTGGGCATGTCACTTCCCTATATAGAGTCTCTAGTCATTCCCAATTTATGTGATGTTAAAAAGCTCAAAATCCAGCACCAGCTTATCTTTCCAATCTATTTCTCATTCTTCCCCTTTATTCATTATCCACTTCTGCCAACCTGACTTCATCATTTTCTCCTTGTTGAAGAAAGCGCTCATGTACTGCTACTGATAATCTTTGTTTTACTTCCTCCCTCTTGTCCCCACCTGTCCCTGATTCCCTCAGCTGGCAAAAAATTTTCGAATGCCCATAGTTCTTTACATTTATCTTCCTTATCACACTTATTATTTCCACCTATATTCTGATGGCTATGAACATATCTATTTCCCCACCTCTTTGAAGGCTCTTGAGGGAAGATCTGTTCATTATTCATCTTACAGTGCTCACAGTGTCCTCCTGAGTATTCATGTTGGATTGTCTTTAAGGCATTGTCTCTGATAATATAGCTGTTCAATTATACTGTCTGGAGACTGACCCCCCAAGGAAGCCAGTCTAAGGTGGGCTCCTAGTTTAACATGTAGTTTAATATGAAGGTGCACACCTGCATTGGAGTCCATGCTCTAACAGCTCAGCCTACCTATGAAAGCTTTCCTATGAAAGTTGAATTTTAGGAGTACCCCTTTGTTTACTTCTTCTCAGATTTATCAGTTTTAAGTCAAAGACACCAAATAAGGTATTTATTTCTGATAGGCAGAGGAAGAGCAAGAGGTAGCAAGTGCTTCCTTCTGACCAGCAATGCTGATGTAATTGAAAAAGAAAAAATAAATATATACAAAGAAAACATGATGAATGACTCCATTTTAAGGCTTCAGACGTGGGATAAAGCAGTATTTAAAGAAAAGGTAAGTCTTTTAATCTGTGTCACTCTTGCAGAATCTGACCATGAGTAACAAACAGAATATGAGGATAGTTGGTGCCTTTTATCATATTGCTCTGAGTGTTGCATGAGAACAATAAGTTTATGCTTAAAATTTTGTCCTGCAGTGAACATCAGTTCATTCTGCTTTAGGTCTCAATGAGATTAAAATATATGTTATTAGTGCTAATATTTGAAGTGAGGTTTTTAGTTATAAAAGGGCAAACTGAGTTAGATGACCCTCAAGTCGGCAGCTCATCTTGAGGACTGCACCCTAACATGGCAAAACACAGCCCTTCTCAGTCTTTCCCTCCAATCTGTCTCTCTCTAACACCCAGAGTCCTCAGAAAAAAGCTCCCCGGGGACAGCGCATGTGTTAGAATGCCTGCTTGTAGATATTGGTATGAATGCACGCCGTGGAGTGGCCTATCTGTTCAGTTCAGCCTCTTGGTAGTGACCTTCATTTTACTGTAATTTCCTTTATAACACAGAAGCATGGAACCAGACTGGGGAAAGTCAAGAAACACAAACACCACATACACGCACACACAGGCACACAGGCACCGCGTACTTTCTCCAGACCCTCTGCAGAGACTTTCAGCTTGGGATCTCTGCCACCTGGAAGATGTGTGACCTCGGGTACTTACTCTGTCTCTTAAATCATCTGTCTCCTCATTCGTAAAGTTGGGAAAGTAATGGTATTTAATTCACAGGGCAGTTTGGAAGATAAAATGGAGTATATGCATTGCCCAGCACAGTGCCTGGAATAAAGTATGTGCTCAAGGGGCGCCTGGGTGGCTCAGTTGGTTAAGCGACTGCCTTCGACTCAGGTCATGATCCTGGAGTCCCGGGATCGAGTCCCGCATCCGGCTCCCTGCTCAGCGGGGAGCCTGCTTCTCCCTCTGACCCTCCTCCCTCTCATGCTCTCTGTCTCTCATTCTCTCTCACTCTCAAATAAATAAATAAAATCTTTAAAAAAAAAAAAAGTAAGTGCTCAAAAAATGAGTATTGTGATGGACAGAGGCATGAGGCAGACTTTAACTTCACAAAGATGAACCTTACAATTCAGTAGACCAACTCCATAGTGTCCATAATTTTAAAAAGTCATAATCTCTTTGCTCAAAAAAGTTTTGAGCAGTGGTCTAAAGCAACTTAACACGTATTTTAGGACAAAAAATGACAACTTTATGTCAGTATTTACTCGTTTTTAGAAACATTTCTTCCTAAAGTTTAGAGACTAAAATATTTAAAAATACTTCTTCCACATTTTCATTGAGAAGAACTGCAAGGAAATTTTTTAGTTCCTCTTAATTTTCCTCCTGAATTTTACTAAAAATAGAGGTTTTTCACAGAGTCATCTTCCCGTTTTGTAGCATATGTTGATGTTGGCAGTAAAGTCTTTAAAACCATGATAGCTTTAATATCCATGCCATAATTTTTGTCTTTTCCACTGGGTGACCAACTACGTAGACTCGTGTGGCAGGAAAAAAGAGTAAAAGCCTTTTGAGGGAGATGGAGGCTCGGCCAGACACAGACTCTTTTGTAGCCAGCTCACCAGGACGAGGAGTGGGATAGGAAAACACAGGTTACACATATGTTGAATAGCATCTGGGATTGCCCTAACAGCCATAGACAATGGGCAGAGGTGGTAAAGGATGAGAGGGAGCCCAGAACCAGTGTAACCGGGACCTGTTGGCTGGTCATTCCGTGGGTGGGGGTGGGCATTCTGGCTCCCTGCAGGGTCTCCACTAACATCACAGGCAAGGGCTGCTACCATGTGGCAGGGTTGAGAGCATGGCTCCCTGCTTGGCCTTCTCTGACGCCATTAGGTGGGAGTGTTGAGATGCTTCGTTAAGGTGGAAATCTAGGTACCCCTTCAGTCTTTGCTGGCATGGGCTGCGGTTAGGCTACAGTTGTTTGTTTTATTCTGTGATGTTTGGCAGGAGTAGAACAGCTATTGTATAAAAGTTTCTTGTCTCGCTAGGCTGCCCCTTTCCTGGTCCTTTGGCTAGAGAGAGTAGTAGGCTTCTGTTGAGACACTTATTTTATCTGTGTCCGTAGACACTTCTGGTTGCCAGTTCCTTCAGCCCTAAGTCTGGGATATATGAGAAAACCCAGGTTGCTCACCACCATTTTGTTCTTAGGGTTTTGTGTTTTCTAGCTGTCTGCCTTCCCTTCTGAATCTTCTTAGGTTTATTTTATCTATAATGTCCAGGTTCTTTTTTTTTTTAATATTTTATTTATTTGAAAGAAAGAGTGAGCGAGAGAGAGAGCACAAGTGGGGTGAGGGGCAGAGGGAGAGGGAGAAGCAGACTCCCCATTGAGCAGGGAGCCCAATGCGGGGCTCG